TTTTGTTGTAGTTAATGCAAAGTTGACTAATACAAAACTGTGTAGCCTTAAATAACATATTAGCTAGAGGCTAAAAATCAATAATAATAAGCCTCTATTTCAAGAATCTAGAAGAAAGTATCTTAAATCCAAAGAAAGAAGAAAGCAAATAATAAACAGCAAAAATCAAGAAAATACAATATCAAAACACATGATAGTGAAAAAAAAAATCAATAAAAACCAGAAGTGGCTTATTTGAAAACACTAAAGAAATTTATACACCTCTTGGCAAGAACGTTTYAGCAAAAACAAAAGAAGGCAAAAATACCCAGTATGAGGAATAAAAAAAGATCATCACAATAGGTTACAGCATCTCCAAAAATTAAAAAGATAAAAGATATTAAAAATTACATTATCAGGGCTGGGATTGTAGCTCAGTAGTGGAGCAGTTGACTAGCATATGTGAGGCATTAGGTTCAATCCTCAGCACCACATAAAAATAAACAAATAAATAAAGATACTGTGCCCAACTACATCAAAAAATAAATATTTTTAAATGATATTATTAATTAATTTGTAAATTTCTATGAAACTGACAAATTGGTAATCTAAATTGTTATTGAAGAAATTGAATCCCACAAAAGAAAATCCAAGTCCCAATGGGTTTCACTAGTAAATTCTCCTAATAATTTAAGAACAAATTAAATTAAATTATTTTAAAGAAACAAATCCCAATTCATTTTGTAAGGCCTGCAGAACTATCAGAACCTAATAAGACAATACACTAAAGGTAAATTTTAGTTTAAGGTCTTTCAAAAGTACTATGTGAAAATTATACACACACACACACAAACACACACACACATAACATTCACACATAAATATATATTTGCAAACAGAATCCAGATAACATATCACAACCAAGTTAACTTTAGAAATGTTAAGGGTGGTTTAACATTTCCAAATCAATTAATGAAATTCATTATAACAAAAGAGAAAAGCCTTGTATTCTTCTCAACAAATGAAAAAAAAAAGTAGGAAATAAACTTCAACACCCATTCATAATAAAAATTCTTAGCAAACATTGCATTTATGGTATAATATTTTTAAAGGGGCAAGGATACGTACCATCACCACTTCCTTTCAACAATGTACTGCAGGTCCCAGCCTGTACATTTTCTTCTTTTTTTTTTTAAAAAAAAAAAAAAGAGTAATAGTAGGAAAAGTACAAGATAAAACTGGAGCACCTTGTTACACTTTTAGAAAGCACAGAAATACTCAAATAATAATAGGGTCATATCAAAAAGATACTAGAGGGGCTGGGGTTGTGGATCAACGGGAAAGCATTTGCCTCACACACGTGAAGCACCACATAAAAATAAATAAACAAAATAAATGTATTGTGTCCATCTACAACTATAAATAAATAAATAGATACATAAATGATAAAAAAAGACACCAGAGTCAGCTTCAAAGAGCACCCACTGCCTAAATGAGGAATATTTTGGGGATCAAAATGTTATAATAGATTACAACATTAAATAAATTTTTTAATTTTTTATTTGTTTTAATTAGTTATACATGGCAATAGAGTGCATTTATGCACTTTGATATACAATACATAAATAGGATATAATTTCTCATTTTTCTGAGTGTACGCATTACAAAATCATATTGGTCATGCAGTCACACATATACATACAGTAATAATGTCTGTTTCATTCTACCATCATTYTACTATCCTCTCCCCTCCCATCACTTCTCTCTACCTAATCTAAGGTAATGCTATTCTTCCCTGGTGCTCCTCCCCGCCTTACTGTAAATCAGCATCCACATATTAGAGAAAATATTTGGCCTTTGGTTTTGTGGGATTGGCTCATTTCCCTTAGCATAATATTCTCCAACTCCAACCATTTACTGGCGAATGCCATAATTTTACTTTTCTTTATAGATGAGTAATATTCCATTGAGTATATATACCACATTTTCTTTCACCATTCATCTATTGAGGGACACCTAGGTTGGTTCCATAGTCTAGCTATTGTGAATTGAGCCGCTATAAACACTGATATAGCTGTGTCACTATAGTATGCTTTTTTAAGTCCTTTGGGTATAAACCAAGGAGTGAGATAGCTGAGTCAAAGGGTGGTTCCATTCCCAATTTTCTGAGGAATCTCCATACTGCTTTCCATAATGGTTGCACCAATTTGCAGTCCCACCAGCAATGGATGAATGTACCTTTTTCACCACATCCTTGCTAATATATATTGTTGCCTGTATTCTTGGTGATTGCCATTCTGACAGGAGATGAAATCTTARGAGTAGTTTTGATTTGCATTTCTCTAACTGCTAGAGATGTTGAACACTTTTTCATATATTTGTTGATCAAYTGTATTTCTTCTTCTGTGAAGTGTCTGTTCAGTTCCTTAGCCCATTTATTGATTGGGTTATTTGGGGGGTTTTGGTATTAAGTTTTTTGAGTTCTTTATATATCCTAGAGATTAATGCTTTATCGGAGGTGCATGTGGTAAAGATTTTCTCCCAATCTGTAGGCTCTCTCCTCACTTTATTGTTTCCTTTGCTGAGAAGCTTTTTAATTTGAATTCATCCCATTTATTAATTCTTGATTTTACTTTTTGCACTTTAGGAGTCTTGTTAAGGAAGTCAGATCCTAGGCCAACATGGTGAAGATTTGGACCTATTTTTTCTTCTATTAGGTGCAGGGTCTCTGCTTTAGTGCCTAATTAAGTCTTTGATCCACTCTGAGTTGATTTTTGTGCAGGGTGAGAGAGAGAGGTTTAATTTCATTTTGCTACACATAGATTTCAAGTTCTGCCAGCACCATTTGTTGAATGGCTATCTTTTCTCCAGTGAATGTTTTTTGCATGTATGACATAACCATTTTTATATGGGTTTGTCTCTGTGTCCTGTATTCTGTACCACTGGTCTACAAGTCTGTTTTGGTGCCAATACCATGCCGTTTTATTACTATAGTTCTGTAGTATAGTTTAAGTTCTGGTATTGTGATGCCTCCTGCTTCACTTTTCTTGCTAAGGATTGATTGCTTTAGCTATTCTGGGTCTCTTATTTTTCCAAATAAATTTCATGATATATATTTACTTATATTGTAAATAGAACTTACAAATTCTATTTTTATGAAGACTGTCATTGGGATTTTAATTGGAATTGCRTTAAATCTGTGTAATGCTTTTGGTAGTATGGCCATTTTGACAATATTAATTCTGCCTATCCAGGAGCATGGGAGATCTTTCCATCTTCTGAGGTTTTCTTCAATTTCTTTCTTTAATGTTCAACATTAAGTAAAATTTTAAAAACCTAAGTCCAGACAGATATTCACACAGATAAATAATTGAAAACAATACAAAAGTTTAATAAATGTTATCATCAATGAATTCTAAAACTAGTGACAATGTGATAAGATATAGGATATTTATACTGCTAGAAAGTATTTCTCCCAATTACCAATTTCAAAAGAGAAAACAGAAACTTCAAGGTAGAAAAGACTATCAATATATTAACCAAGTGATCAAAGTAGGATGCATTTGCATCATAAACCTCCTAATATCATACACAAGAACACATCATTATTCATGGGATAGTCTGCCAAGAATGCAAAAGCTGAATCTAATCATGATGAAACATCATCTAAATTGAGGGAAATTCTTCAAAATAATGGTCTGGTACTCCTAAAAACAGTATAGTCAATAAAGACAAAAATGGCTGAAAAATTTTCCAGATTAAAGGAGATCAAAGACTTTTCACCATCAAGATAAAAGGAACTATAACAGACATTGAGATAATGACAAGCTTGCAATATGTGCTGTGGACTATATAATTATATTGTATGAATATTAAATTTCCTGATTTCAATAACCAAATTGTGGTCATAAAAGAGAATGTGCTTGTTCTTAGGAAATACACACTTAAGTATTTAAGGCTTAAGGAATATGTTGACTTCAAATACTTTCAAACAATTCAAAGACAAATAAAAATAGAGTTTATGACCAAATTATCCTCATTGTAGGAAATTCTCAGGATATAGCAGGAAAATAACCCTAAACTACAGACACAAAAGATCAAACCCTTAGAACTGGTGGGGGAGCCAGGAAGGATGAGATAGAAAGACATAGATAAATGCACTACTGCCTTATATCCAGAAGAGAGAGCTCTGCTCTGAGCCCCACACTTAAAAAGTTTCCACCTATCAAAACACATTAAAACCCAAACATAATCAGTAATTAATTACATAAAGAGAAATTGCAAAATGAACTGGGTCCTCCAGGTCAGACAATGGAGGAAAAGAAGGGCAAATCACAGCCTCTAGTTGAGTAAACCAGAGTAAGAATATCTAGTTTTTTTTGGCCACCCTGTGTCTCCCCAAGGCTATGTATTCCACATATAACATTCCCTCTTCAGGAGGAAGTAGATACTTAGAACTGCCTGAAAATCTTGAATTGGAAAAGTAAAGTGTGCATGATGGGAACCTGTTTGCCTCATTTCTCTGGGGAGTTCAACCGCATTGCTCCTCAACCTAGATTCAGGAACTATACTGGCCTAACTGTCCTGCCTGCCCCAGGAAGAGGAGCATGGTTCCAAAAGATGTAGCTGGGTAAGAAAGCAGGCCARGCACTAGGAATGAGCTGATTTGTAACTTCAATATTAAAACATGGAAGAAGTTGTCTATACTCCTACCAGGTGTTAGGGGAAAGCCTAGGGAATAGCAATGGTTCCATTGCTATTAAATTTAAAAATATTAAACTTAAACAAATATTAAATTTAAAGATTTTTTTTTGTTATTGATGGACTTTTTTTWTATATATATGTGGTGCTGAGAATCAAATCCAGTGCCTCATACATGCTAGGCAAGTGCTCTCTATGACTGGGCTACAACCCCAATCCTAAGAAGATTTATTAATAAACGAAAAATAGATGGCAGGAAGCGGGGAAAAAAGAAAGGAAACAACATTAAGGTTAATGCTTAAGAGAATTTGATCACTTACCATCATTCTTTAATTCTCTTCTGTGCCAAGAAGATCATTTAATACATAAACCCATGGGGTATGACTCCTATAATAAAATATATGTATGCCTTTAGTCATAACATTATCAGAAAATCATATGTATTCATAAAAAGATACAAATCTTATCTCCACAGGTTTTATTACTTAAACACAATAAAACTGTTCCTTTTCAATGCCTGTTAGGATATAATATAGCAGGCTTTAAATACTCCACACTGAACCATACCTATGCTCTCTAAAATATAAAATGGTAAAGAAACAGGGTTAATTACATGAGTAGCATAGATATCCTAACACAAAGGCATCAAATTTTTCCCCAGATTTTTTTTACTGGTGCTTAATAGTTGTACATAATGGTGGGGTTTGTTGTTACATATTCATACATGCAAACAATATAACAACATAATTTGGCCAATATCACTCTCCTGCATCAAGTTTTTTTCAACTAATAAACACACAAAACACACACACACACACACATTTACATTTTAATCCAACTCACATATATTTCACTGAAAGAAAGGCTTCATGAAGTAATATTTATTTCTATTGTGTGAGATGTACTCTGATACATAGAATCATACATACTCTTCATCTCAAAGTAAAAAAATAAGTCTTCAGAGTAGCCTACCACATGTTAAATTTTCTCTCTTCCCTTACCTCCCCTTCCTCATATTCATTCCATTCTAATTACACTGCCCTCTTGTTAAAAAATATTTTTAGTTGTGGATGGACACAGTAATTTTATTTTATTTATCGTTCTATATGGTGTTGAGGATGGAACCCAGTGCTTCACATGCTAGGCAAGTGCTCTACCACTGAGCCACAACCCCAGTCCCACAGTGTCCTCTTTATGCTCCCTAACAAGACACACTGTAACCTCAGGGATATTTATATCTGTTGGACCCCTATCTGGAATACTCAACATTTACTGTCTTCCCACAAAAGTCATTTTTCAGTGAGGCCTTTACAAGTAACTTCAAAATTGCAATGCTTCCAGACCAACAAAAGCTACAGGAGCACATCACTACTAGAAAAATGTACTAAAGAGGAGTGAGTTGTGGCTCAGTGGTAGATTGCTCCTCTAGCACACATGAGGCACTGGATTCAAACTTCACCACCACGTAAAAATGAAATTAAAAAATTGCATCCACCTACAGCTAAAAAGTAAATATTAAACAAAAAGAAAGAAAGAAGGAAGGAAGGAAGGAAGGAAGGAAGGAAGGAAAGAAGGACGGACTGACTAAAAATAACTATAAGTTAAGCCTGGCATGGTGGTTCATGCCTGTAACACGAACAACTAGGAAGGTTGAGGCAGGAGGATCCCAAGCTTGAAGCCAGATTGGGCTACTTAAGGAGACCTTGTCTTGATTAAAAAAAGGTTGCAGATGTAGCACACTGCTTGCCTAGAATTTGAAAGCCCTGAGTTTAACCCCTGTATCACAAAAATAGTAATAAAAAATAAAAACAATAAGCCAGGTAGAGTGACATACACCCTTGGTTCCAGCTTCTTGGGCAGCTGAGATAGAAAATCACTTCAGCCCAGAAGTTCAAGGCCAGCCTGGACAACATATCAAGACCCTGTCTCTAAATAAATGAACAAAAAATAAAGTGTAACTCCAGTAATTAGTAATGAATACACAATGTAWAAGAAATATAATTTGTGATATCACTAACATAAAATGTGAAGAGAGAAGTTACAATATAGTTTTCATGTGTAATTTAAGTTAAGCTGTTATCACTCTTAAAATACACTAATAACTATAAGATGTTTCATGTAACCTCATGGCAACCACAAGAAAAAAATGTAGTAGATAGACAAAAATATCAAAGCATACACAGCAAAAATAATCAAATCACAAAAGAAGACATCAAGAGACTAAGAATTTAACAGAAACTACAAAWCTGTCAGAAAACAATTACCAAATGGTAGTAAGTCCTTTCCTGATTGTAATTACTTTTAAGTGTAAGTGGATTAAATTCCTTAAACAAAAGACATAGAATAACTAAACGGATTTTTTTTTTAAAGATCCAATGACATGCTTGCTATAAGAGACTAGCTTTCAGAACACACATAAGGCTGAAAGAAAAGGGATAGAAAAAGTTATCCATGCCAATGGTAACCAAAAGAAAGCAAAGGTAGCTATACTTTCATCAGACAAAAAAGACTTTAAGCCAAAAATTGCCACAAAAATGTCAACATATAATGATAAAGAAGTCAATTAATCAGGGCTGTGGTTATGGCTGAGCGGTAGAGCGCTCACCTCGAATGTTTGATCCTGGATTTGATCCTCAGCACCACATAAAAATAAATAAATAAATAAATAAAGATATGGTGTCCATCTACAACTAAAAAATGAAAAAAATAAGTCAATTAATCAAGAGTACATAACAATTATAAATATAAGTCCAAAATCAGAGCACCTGAAGATACAGGAAAAAATTAACATAATTGAAKAGAACATTACAACAATAATAGTAGGGGGTTTCAATATCCTATTTTAAATAAGGTTAGATCAGGTATAAAAATCAAAAAGGTAACAATGAACTTGAACAATACTGTAAACCAAATGAACCTAACAAACAAATGCAAAATATTCCACTTGAAACAGCAGAATACACATTATTGAATTGTAGTATTAGATCCTCAGCACCTCATAAAAAGATAAATAAAATAAAGATACTGGGCTGGGGTT